GGAAACTTAAAAACATCACTCGCAAATTTTCCTTTTCCTTAGGCAAGGGTTTGTGACCAACCATGTAGGAGAATACCTTGGAAAACATGAGAGGAAAATTTTTGGGGTACAACAGGGTCTAACATCTCCCCCTCGTTAGTAGGGCCAACCTCCTATTGACGCAATTGGATATGGAGAACGTTATCCTCCAATGTTTGATTCTAGCGACATGGATCGTCCATGACATCGCACATTTATGCCATGAAGCTTTCCTTGTTGTTATATTCTTCTCTGGTCGAAGTTGTTGTCCTTTTGTTCACCATGATGAATAAATATGTTAAACATAGGGACGATAGTTCGACTGAATGTTGTAATAAGGGTCCAAGTGTGTTTTACCAGGCCCCACGATGGATGCTAATTGTACTTTTTAAAAGTATAATACGTGACAATTTCTAGCGATTAAGAGTTGTCAGAGGCTTTAGGATTTGTTGTAGGGTGAAGAGCTAGCAAACATAAGAAAGTGTGAAGCTCTGTGTATCTAGTATTTATGTGAATATCACATTGTCCTTTTGAACTCAAGGGTTGAGGTATATATATATATATATATATATATATATATATATATATATATATATATATATATATATATATATATTGGGCCTGGAACCTAGACCCTATATGAATGACAACCACTTTCGAGGGAATGAGAGAGTGGACAGTTAATCTTCTGTTATTCAGGAGAGCATGATTATCTTTCTCTTGACTTCTTTCACACCATTATGATATAGGGTCACGTAACTTTCCATATTTTCCTTCTTTCGGATGAGATATCCCAAAAATAGGCGAAAAATATAATAAAATAGCGTCACATCTAATAAATAGGCGATCGATCTAAAACACGGACAATTAAAAATACTTTTGCATGTGAGACGATGCATCACTTGCTTTCCACGTCACCTCTCATAAAACGATACAATAATACATATTCTAAAAATTTGTGTCACATAGAATAACAATATAATTATCATAAATTTTTTTCAAAAAATTAAAAGTATACACCCAATTAAATCTATATATTGAATTCAAATAAAAGTATTATTTTTTTCAAATTTCAAATTAAGAAAATAAAATATAAGAAATAGTTTTACAATAATAAATTTTTATCAATTAATAATTATCATTTTACTTTGCAATAACCTAAAACTTATTCAAAGTTTTAAATTTTCATTTTAAAAGAATCTTCACATATCATAGATTCTCGATTACATTTGACTAATAATACCAAAACTTTGATTTTCGATATCTGTAGGACGGAGGATAGAAATATTGTTGGTAGGGTAGCTGTTATGATAAAAGTGATATGGAGAAACAAAAATAACAAACTCTGAAATAATGAAAATGATGATGCATATAAACTTCGGATCAATGCTTTTTGTTTCTGTCAGAATTGGTTTACCGCTCAATAAATTAAAGAACATGTGACCGCAGTACACCACCCTTTAACGTGAATAGCTCCCGCGAAAGGGTGGGTTAAGTGCAATGTCGATGCCAGGTTTAACAGTCGAAGATGAATAACTAATAGAGGCTGATGTGTGCGTGATAATCTTGGTAGATTCATTTATGTAGGTGTAACTTAGGATGTTGGTACTTATTCTATCTTGTATGCGGAAGCGTTAGCGCTTAAAGAAGCTATATTAGGTGCTATGTCGTTGGGTTTGCATAATGTCGTTTTTGAAAGTGATTCCCACATAGTAGTTCAAGCTATTCGACCTAACCATAAGAGTAGCTTAGAATTTAATTTAATTATTACTTCTTTACAGAATTTATTGCATTTTTATTCAAACTTTGAGATTAAATTTATCAAACGTCAAACAAATTCGGTTGTCCACACGTTAGCGAAGGCGGTCAATTTATAACCCCGACGCAGTATCTTTCATTAATTTCGTCTTGTATTAAACATCTCTTAATCAATAATATGAATTAAGTTTGCTCTTATCAAAAAAATCTTAGAAAAAAGCAAAACTAATATCCTAATATTCCTAATATATAATCACAATTAAACTTTTTTCAGTCAAACTAATAATATAATATATTTTTATTGTCATTAACAAAAATAAATAGTTCAATGAACTCATTTATTACATTCAAACTTGAATAAATAATTCCAAAACTGAAAAAGACATATATAGACTAAGTAAACCAAAGTAGTTAAATAAAATATTACAAGTTTACATTTGTGGATTGAGTGTTAAATAGATGAAAGATGCTATTTTGCGATAAAATTCTTAAATTCTTATAGTATGTTATTATTTATGAAAGATGCTATTTTGCGCTAAAATTCTTAAATTCTTATAGTATGTTATTATTTATAAATACGGTGAATAATATTTCCTCTGTTTTTTATAAGATTTTGTTGAGTTTTTTAATTCTTTTTTATAAGATTTTTTTTTCAATTTTTAAGATGTATTAATTTTTATTTTTTAAATATATCTCTAATTATATTATATATTTTTGTATAATTTATAATAAATACAGTTATATACGTATTAACTATTTCTCTCTTCTAATGATAAACTTATAAATTTATTCAAAATAATTTTATATTTAAGGAAGGAGGCAGTAACTTTTATAATTGATATTTTTATATATTTTTCTCTTTCTCTTTCAAACAAATTTAATTAATAATGTGTAAAAATTTGTTTAATACAGTTAATAGTTTGATCAATATGTGTTATGATATTAAAAAGTAATTTTAAGCGAAAAATAAAGTTGATTAATTAAATATAAAAATTTGATTATGGTTTGTTTGATAAAATAGTAATTGATTGATAAGTTAATTGATAATTTATAGTTTATGATTGATAGTTGATGATTGATAACTTATAAATTCTAATTGATGGTTGAGATTAAAAGTTTATAAACTATTTTAAATGTTTGATAAAGTTAACATTTCAATAAAATGACATAAAATATATTTAATATATAATTATTTTATTTTAAATTAAATTAATTATAAAAATAATAGTGAATTTTATTAAAATAATAAGAATAAAAGTGGAAAAATAAATGATAAGTTATAAGTTATATAAACTAAAATGCTATTTGAAATACGTTTGAAAAATAAATTATAAAGCAATAAAATAAATTAGAATTAAATATATTTTTAATCCCTATAAAATTATTAAAAATGACTTTAATTTCTATGAAAAAAGTCAAATTAGTCCTTATAAAAATTATTTTAATCCTTATAAAATTAGTTTTATATGCAATTTTAATATTTTTGGAAAATTCTTAGAGATCGTATAGATAAAAAAATGCCAACACTACATTAACTGAGGTAAAGTCATGAGTCAATGGTTTTTATTTGAAAGTCCTAGTTAATGAAAAAAAGAGTGTGAATTTTAATAAATCTTCGGTATGTTATGCACTATGAAGCATGGATTCCAAGAGAGATAGTGGGACACGATACAAACAGTCTGACAATGATAATGTCAAAATTATAAGATATTGACTATGTTACATATTTCCTCTATTCTCTTTTATAAGTAAATTTTAGTTTTTTAGATTCATTAAATAATTAATCTATCTAGTTCACCTATAGTTCAAACACATTATTTATTCAATGAATTTAAAAAGTAATATTTTCTTATAAAAGAGAATGAACGGAGGATATGATAGTATTTGAGTTCCTTTTATCCATTTATTATTAAAAAAGTTATAAATATTTCAATCAAAATTAATGTCTTTAATTTTTTTTATCAATAACATTACTTCAATATGTTTAACCCTTTTAGACGTGGGTATAGATTTGTCCAAAAAAGTATAAAAGTATGTTGACGTAAAGAGAAAACTTATTTTTTGTTTGAAATATTTATCTGAATTGTCTGACACATGTGGTAAGAGCGTCAAACGTGTGTCCGACACCGGTTTAAAGAGTGTTGAAACAAAAAATAAATAAATTTTTGAGACAATGTCTGATTTTTCTGACATTTATTTGACTTTTCAAACACGTGTCGTATATGTATTATACAAGTGCCAGATATCGTGACATGTCTACTCCTAAAAGTATATGTGCTTAATAGATTATGCATGTATACATTTTATCATAATATAGTAAATTAATTAGTCAGGATCAACGAATGAGTTTGTCTTCTCTACCCCAACTGAATTCCTTCTTGTAGTTGTGTGACACAGTTTCAACTTATAAAGTATAAAATATCAAGTCTAACACCGATATGAAGATTCGAAAATAACATTCGGATACAAATAATATAAAAATATAGGATAAAGACACCACTACATAAATATACTAATATTTGATCTTCATTTATGAATTTATTATTAAAAAAATTAAAAATATTTTAATCAAAATTAATATTTATAATTCTTTGTTGATAACATTATTCTAATACATTTTTAACATTTTTAGATGAATGTGAAATTTGTTAAAAATATATACAATTTCTTTTGAAATATTTATATGAATTGTCCGACTGTATGAGTGACATACATATATGGATACTGATTTAAAAAGTGTTGAAATAAGGAAAAACTATATTTATTAAATATATATATGTATCTGATCTTACACTTAAATTCAATTAATTATTTAATAAAAAATAAAAAGATAAATTTAATTGGTATGCATCAATAATTTAAAATAATTTTATATTATCAATTTATCGTGATTGAAATTTAATTTTAATTTTAATTATTTATAAAATAATATTTATAAATAATTATAATACAATGATTATATAAATAATTTTATATAGATAATGCATATCAATTAATATAAAAAACATTTATTTATATTTGAGCCGGATGAAGTATATTTATATTATGCTCCCTGGTCCAAGCAACCATTACCCATTCCATTACTATAAATTTAGAATAATTAGGTATTGATAGTTGATTTTTAAGACAATAATAATTTATTTACAAAAAAAAAGATAAAAAGTTAAAAAATGATCACGTTATGAGACGGATAATTCAGCTAAAAATCACATGTGTGTCCGTAAATAAGAATCAGAATCAGCATCAATATCGGCATCACTATCTCCAAAACCATAGTTGTTGTTCTGTCGCATCTTCCTCTCTTTTTGTTCACTCGAAAGAAAAACTTTGACTTTTCCGATTCCATTCATTCTTCTCTCTTTCTCAGTCAAATTAATTCCTCCAGCTGCGCGCGCCAAACAGGTTAGCCATCAATTTTCTTACAACTGTTTAGTTTTCGTTCAGGCTTTTCGAATTCTTGTTTTTTCTGAACTTCTTGTTCAGATTCGAATCGTTGTTTTGCTTCATCATAGTTGTATGCAAAATGCTTTGGTTTGTGATGTATGAATTCCTTGAACTGACTCAAACTCAGGGTTTGATTTACTATACCACAAGGTGTGTCCGTATCAGTGTCGGTATTCAAGATTGACACATACGCTTGTGATTATGTTTGATTTATTCATTTATTCAAATTTATTCAAATTGTTATCGTTGTCGACATGTCAGAGCGATATCGTGTTTCTTAATGATATAAAGTTATATTTATGGCTTTGATTATATAAGAATTATAGATGGTCTTCATGATTATCTATTGAGTAAAAACATAGCTTTCTGTCTAGGTTTGTTTTAGGGGAAATTGAACTAATCTCTCCTATTTATGTAACAAGTGAAACATTTCACCGCGAATCTTTAATGTTCGTTGGTAACAATGTAAGCGGAGTTCTTTAAACAAGTTATGCCTATAACCACTTGAGTAGTACTCACACCCACCTCCTTTGAGTTTTCTTGCATGAGTTTTTCTCTTGTTTTCAGTTTCTGCTGAATTATATTGATGGCTTCTCAGCCTGATGTTCGTGGATTTGTAGCATCCTATGTTCAAATAAATATGTTACCAATGACAAGGAACTGAACCCAGACCAATTTTCCCTTTCTTTAATTCTGTAAATATTTAGAAGATAAGTGATTACATAGAGAACTTGGTATTGACTTTTGCAGTACTTATTGTTGACTTTTGGAGAATCTCCACACTGACCAACATGAGTGTAGATCCGAAGAAAACTGCCTCTAACGGGAATGAGAAAATATTAATACCACAAGAACAGCAGGCTAAGGTATGTATCCTACATGTCAATATGACATACTCTCACATTGTTTTGACACTTAGCATCAAATGTTAAAAAACAGTTTAAATATAATATGAGAAAATGAACCTTTTAACCCACAATATATTAGGACCTCAAATGAGAATTTGAGCCCGATTAAACAATTGGTCAACCAATCGTTAGTCACACCCAATGTAGTCAAGATCGAGTGCTGGATGCCTGAGAGTGCTATGATCAGAGATAGATTGTTTTCGTCGGTAGTGTTGTCAAGTTCGAGTTTTTCGAAGCCAAATTGTAAAAAAAACGCGGTGGGTCTTTTTTTGGGACTGAATTATAATGTTCATGTTGTTGTGTATGTGTGTATAATTATATATGAAATTGCCATTTTCCCTTGGGTAGGATGTCATGTGCCGTGCTAATGATCCGAGTTTTATAATCTTTGACAAGCCAACTGTTGTAAGCGGTGTAGCGGCAAGCAATAAAAGTTTTGGAAATATTTATCCGATAATTTATCGTGTCCACAGAGATTGGTTATTGAATTGCTGTTCGAAAAATCTCTCGTTAATGACTTTAAGGATAAATGGGTTTGTAAAGAAAATGTTATCAAAAGAAAATAAATGTAAACAAAAGTAAAAACTAAGGAAGAACTTATCAAGCCTGCATATAATCTACTCATCACAGACTTAAATCTATCGACCAGTTACATTCAACCTAACAATACTCATAACGTATCACTCACAACCTAAGTCATTTCTAACCCAAATTGAGAGACTGACTGTATCACCAAAGAAATGATCTCTCTACTTCCTCAACAACACAGAAGACAACTATGTAATCGCACTGACGATCTCTCAGCACAATACAACCACACAGAGGCATTAAGCTCTGATATCCAAGTAGATGTCAGCTCTAAATCTATCTCTAGAGTTCAGAAACTAATAGATAATCACCCTAGATAAGAATCTAAGCAGTATATACCTATAATAACTCAAATCCCTAGCACTCAGCAAAAATTTAAGACAACAATCCACAAAAATTTGTAAAGCAAGTTTAATATAATGCCATGGGCGACAAATATACAAAAGTTCAGAGTAAGTACATGTACAAACTCAACACATAAAGAATACACAAAGAGGAAGAGAAGTGAACCACAAATCTACCGGTTTGTCAGTGTCGATTGATGAGCAATCCACCCTGGATCATCTGTATGCAAGCTTCAATGTTGTTTTCTAAGCTTTAACTATCAAAGAATAGAGGTTGACGGAGTTGGGGTCAAAAATACCCAAAATCATATCCAAAAAATGTGTTTTTACACCTAAATACGTATTTCTGACTATCCAGCATCGCCCGACGATCAAAAAGCGTCGCCCGACGACCAAAACAGTATTTTTCCCACGCTACAGTTCGCCTAGCGTCGCCCGGCGATCAAAAGCGTCGCCTGGCGACGGATGACAGAAAGTTGAAAAATCAGCACAACATTCTGCACTGTTTCGGCCATAACTTTTGAACCGTAACTCCGATTCGCGCCCGGTTCGAAGCGTTGGAAAGCTTATTCAATGCCCTTTCTAACAATGACAAAATATAAGCCAAATTTATGATTTCTTATTCTTTGATTTTGAGCCTTATTCGTTGACGAGTTGTTCAAAATCGCGCGTTTGAAGCCGTGTCTTCGACACTTTATCGTTCATGCTCCAAATACGCATCAATACCTATAAAATGAATGAAAAACTATCAAACGATACACTTTATACATGAAAACGCATTATACACAAACTAAACGTATTTATACACAAAGTTAGATTATTCAACTGATATTAACAACCAAGAGTCGATAAGTGCAATAAAAAGTATATACAAAATAACTACACTTTTGTACTTATCACCGACCGATCTTACTTAAGATCTCATGCTTGACTATATTGGTCACACCATTTACTCACCGTAATAGCCACATCACAGCGTTTTACTCTCCTTTCATATATTTTGATAGCATAACTCTCCATCTAATGAGGTTGTGCATCTGATTAGCCAATTATCTATTGGAGCGCAAATTGTCATTTCAGGTCGTAACACTATGTTTGTTTACTTCTAGATCAATGAGATGAGAAAGCTACTAGGGCCACTGTCTGGTAAGGCATTGATTTATTGTTCTGACGCATCCATCGCGAGGTATTTAAGGGCACGGAGTTGGAATGTCAAGAAGGCAGCTAAAATGTTGAAACAGACCCTTAAATGGAGAGCAGAATATAAACCAGAAGAGATCCGCTGGGTAAGCGGCTGCGTACATTTCTTCAAATTTCTAATGATTTTTGTGACATAATGTTTGTTTTCTACCAGCAACTGAATACTATATTGGTCTTAAGACTTCACTATCTGATTTCGTTTGTCTAGAATGTTTGTTATCTTTATATGCTCGGTAAAACTATCTTTTTTCTTAAATGATTATGATTTTTTTTTGTTGATGCAGGAAGATGTTGCTCAAGAAGCAGAGACCGGAAAGATCTACAGATCAAACTATATTGACAAGCATGGGAGAACAGTACTTGTAATGAGACCCGCTCGTCAGGTATCTTCTAAAAAGTTACTTACTCGCTCTCTAGCACGTCTTAGTCAGATGTTTTAGTGTTTAACTTACCTTACCAGGTTTTATTTCTACAATTGTAAATCCTCGAAAGCGCTCTTTAACTTCATGCTTTGACCTTGGTATCAAATTTAGTAGTTTATTCGTGCGTAAATGCAGAACTCAAAGTCAACAAAAGGACAGATTAAGTATTTGGTGTACTGCATGGAGAATGCTATTCTAAATCTTCAACAGGAGCAGGAACAGATGGTCTGGCTGATTGATTTCCAGGGTTTCAGTATGTCACATATATCTATCAAAGTGACACGTGAAACTGCTCACGTATTACAAGAACATTATCCTGAAAGGCTGGGTCTGGCAATACTCTACAATCCTCCAAAAATCTTCGAGCCATTCTTCACGGTAACCAAGTTTTTCCATTCTGACATTTCATGTCTCAATATTTTCTTCCTACTGATTCTTATGTAAACATGCGGCTTTTAGCTGCTAACAATTCTGATCTTTAATCTTGCACAATTTCGTGATGACGAAAACTATGTTATTGCAGATGGTAAAGCCCATATTAGAGACCAAGACTTATAACAAAGTCAAGTTTTGTTATTCTGATGACCAGAACACCAAGAAGATTATGGAGGATTTATTTGATCTGGACCATCTTGAATCCGCATTCGGTGGGAATGAAAATACACCATTTGATATTAATAAATATGCCGAGAGAATGAAAGAGGATGATAAGAAGATTCCCTCTTTCTGGATAAGGGAAACCTCTCCATCCTCAGTTCCAATTGATGTTCCTTCTTTAGATTCCATTAAACTAGACACCGATTCTGATGCCTCTGACAACGAGAAAATAGTTCGTTCTTCTGACTCAGTAGCGGACGCCAGCTTAGTCAACAACCCTGATCAAAACTTGGTTAATGAAGAGGATCTGAATGTAAGTGCTGCTGTGCATTAGAATGAGAAATTACACAACTCAGCGCGGAAATTTATATACAGGCACTGAGGTTATACAATGCTGGGACATTATTTTCTTGCTTGAAATTTAAGATTCAAGAGACTTTTTGCTTACTTGATGTTGGATTTAAGATGACAGATGATATATACTGCTAGTTATTTATTTATATCAAATGATTAAATGATGAATTTTTATTGGATGACAGTGTAAAACTATTTGAGGATCATTTGTATCATTTTTCTACTTAGCTATACTTTTTTTATATATCAAATTTAATGATCATTTGTAGCATTTTTCTACTTGATAGTAGCTATACTTTTTTATCAAAAGATTTATCATAGATAAAATTATAAGAGAAAAACATAGCAAGTTTATATTCATCTATCTATCCTCTTTTGCACAAATCAAACACAATCATCACATTATGTTCAACTCATTCTTCAAAAGAATGCAAAGCAAACATCGATACTTATTACATGAAAACTTATTCAAAACATCAAGATTGTTGAAACCTATCATAAACATTGTCACACTATTTATTCCACAATAATTTTACTCTCAAGCTCGAACTAAACCTTGACGATCAAAACGATTTTTCTTCACCGCGAGAGAAAAATCGGCCAGACGGACTACCATCTTGTATCACCAATTTCACAATCGGTTCAGCACCTTCATCAGATGTCAAAGCACCATTACCACCATTCATATCTGTTTTGATAAAACCAGGAGAAATCGCATTTATGCTAAAAGAAATGTATTTCTTGGCCAAAACTCTTGTATAGGCATTAAGAGCAGCTTTAGAAACAATGTATGCAGAATTTGCCAAAGGCCAACCTTTGGTTTCATGTGAACCCTCTTTATAGGTTTTTAGAAATTCATTCATAAGTTCATCAATGTTTTCTTCAGTGAGATTTTCGACGTCACTTAGTATTTCTTTAGGTCGTCCATTTGCCAAAACCTGCATAAAAAATTACAGCAAAGTAATTCTAAATTATATAATATAATATATTATAGAAATTAGTTTATTTTTTATTGATTTATGAATATTAACAATTTATTTATATTAATATTAAATATAAATAAAATATTAACAAAAAAGCATTGATTCATACCTCGAGCCTTCCAATAGATGAAGAAACATTGATAATTTTTGGTGAGCTAGAAGATTGAAGAAGAGGAATTAGAACTGTGGTGAATTCTTTGGTTCCAAAATAATTTGTTCTAAGGATTTTTTCAACTATTTCATTGTTTTCATAAAATATTTTAGTCCAATCAATTTGATTAGGATCTACCTGCACAACACAAAATAAAAAAGGGAATAAAATATATTATATATTTTAACATTAGTCAAAATTAATTAATTTCATTAAGAAATGCAAAAATAGATTCACTCGATTTAAACTAATTTAAAATGATAGTGCTTTTTTTTTTATATATCTTATTTTAAATAAAACAATTTAAACTTTTGTGGTAAGCACAAAATAAAAGGGTGTAATGTAATCATACCACAACACCAAGAGCAGCCAAAGCCTCACCATTCACATGTGCTCCCATTCCAGCATTGTTCACCTATGTACAGATTTTCAAATATTTCTAATGAGTCAAGATAAAAATGAAATGTTTTTATTGTAAAAATAATATATTTTAAAGTAATCCTTCAATAAAATTAATATTTTCAGTTGGAAAAATTGAGTTTATCTACGTAATATTTTCATTGTTTTAGTATCTAAGATTATCATTCCATCTAAATAAAATGGCAAATAGAAAATAACTTCGCAAGTGACATGGCATGTCACTTTAGATTTTTGTGCCACATGACAAAATTAACCAATGGACAACACTTAGTTGGATTAAAAACCAAAAATGCATATTTGCACATATCGATTTAGAGGTTAATGATAACTTGAGTTCTTTGTGAGTCTCAAATCATATACTCCTTCTCTGATTATTAGTATAAGTGATTTTTTTTTTTAGATTCATTAAATAATTGATGTATCTAATATTTATGCAGACCAAGCACATTAATTATTTAATGAATTTAAAAAGAGAATATTTATAATAGTGAAGAAAGTATTAAGACTAAGTAATGTTAAGTCTCTAGTGAAATTAGAGAGGTCAAAAGATAAGAAAAATAACTTCAACAAGGTCGATCGCGACTTTAGGTTACTCTTATAAAGAAATAAACATCTCGCCCTTTTAAAGGTGTGCGTATCTCACGCTTACAAAAGAGTGAGTATCTCACATTTATAGAAGAATGGACATTTCACCCTCACAAATAAAAAAATCCATGAAAAGATGATGCACAATTCCTTCTCTCCCTTAAAGCATGTAGTCTTTTTACTGACCTCATGCTCGAGGGATTGTGTACAATTCAGAGATTTTCCATAAAATATCTCATTCTTACAGGCATAATGCTTGAGGTATTGTATATAATTCGGTCTTTCCCTATAAACCATCTCACCCATATATACCTCATGCTTGAGAGATTGTGTTTGTCTGATAGTTTGAGTCGGATCTAAACTCGATCTTGGAAGAACCCTCCCCAATTTCTAATTTGTCCAATAAGGCGTGACCAAGTTAGGCCAACTAATGGGCCAAGTTAATCAAGCTGACCCAAAACTTACATGGAGGATATTCAAATTAGGGAGCGAGAGACAACACATTTATGAGCGAATGGGGATAATATGGCTGAGAATCTAGCAATTAAGTTTGATTATCCGAAACCATTAAGATAAATCAAAAACAATTAAATTTGATTGTCTGAATCCATTAAGATCCATCAAAAGCAATTAAGTTTGATTGTCAAGCACCATTAAGATCCATCAAAAGGATAATCTCCTTAAATGGTTTTTATGAGTCTTAAATATGCAGCAGACCAAAAACACTATATAAAGGATGCAATCAGAGTAAAAAGGACATCACTTTTTCCTTCAATATATATTCATACTTGCGACTCAACTCAATATCAGTAGAGTTATCAATCACTATACCTAACATATGCACAATCCAACCTATAAATACTCCTATGTAATTATGTCTCAGTTGTATTGTCAAATCTTTGACTTCTTCTTATGAACACATAATTCTATCAGCTTATTTTTGTGCCTATCGTTATAAATCAATTATTTTTATAAATAAAATTTATATTCATCCACTAAAAAGGGTATTGACAGACTGGAAAAAGAATTGACAAACTTCAATTAAATATGATGACGTTAGTCTTTAATGTAATTAGAAACCAAAATCATTCACATATCTTATTTTAATTATTTATTTATTACGAGTCAGAAAAAATTATTTATTTTTCAATTACATTAAAATCATTAAAGTCACTATATTTAAGAGGCATCCCATACCTGAGTTTAATTCTTTTGAAAAAATACTCTGTCACCTATTGTGACGAGAGATTAATCTCTATATTTGCACGCAATAGATGTCTTATTTAAAAATAATAATCATCTAAACTCAATCTAGACACACTCCCCTATCTATATATTCCTTTTTCCAAAGCTCTCCTTAAACCATGTAATATGATCACTCCCTTCATCAATTTATCTTTATAGTTATGAACACAACCAACTCATATAACTTTTTAATTTTCCACTACTGCATTTTCCACATTATTATCTACAAAAATCATCCTAAAATATCCCAAGTGACAGTGCTATAACTTGAAATAAATTTGATTAAAAGATTATTCAACAAACATTAACACAAGCCAAATAATAATATTACCAAGATATCGAGTTTACCAAACTGATTTGCGATAAAATCAACAAAGGATCCAATACTTGTAGAGTCTGTAACATCAAGTTGATGGAAAAGTACATGACCAGGAAGTGAAAGCTCTTTCAGTTTCTCAACAGCTTCAACACCTCTCTTTTCATCTCTTGCTGCCAACACCACTTTCATACCATTTGAAGCCAATTGCTTGCATATTGCAAATCCAATTCCTTTGTTTGCTCCTGTCACTACTGCAACCCTTCAAACCAATATAACAAATTTATTTTAAAATATGAATTATCAATCTTATCACTCATTAAATGCCTCTTTGTTGAACAAACTCAAGCAAATTAATTTTTTCGTACCTATCTCTTGCTTCTGCCATTACTTTGTTAATGTTGTAAAATTGTGTTTTATGAGATTTTAACACACATATATATATATATATATATATATATATATATATATATATATATATATATATATATATATATATATATATATATATATATATATATATATATATATATATATATATATATATTATAGAATCATGCTGATGTTCAATGTATTAAGTTATAATTGAATCTATTTAAATTAAATTATATGTTAAACTATAATTGAAGAGTTTGAAAATCAACATAGTTATCATAAATTAATTTAATCAAAATCAGTCAAAATATTAAAATTTAATATATTTAAATGATATTTAATTGGTCAAAAAAATATTAATATTTTTTTATTAATTTTTTTCTCCTGTTATTTTCAGGTGAAATGGATTGGTGACATGTCAATATGAGTTGGAAGATAAACATTGATTAATAAATTTCGATTAGAATTTAAATTCTTCTAAATTTTGTTTTTCTTAATTTCAATATGTGTTTTTGTAGTTAAGAGAAAGTTTGTTATTGAGAAAGAGAAAGGGTGACTTGGGTTTGAAAAGCCGTTGTGATTATAGAGCCCCTCACTTATGCATATTTGGGAACGGATTTGATAGGATCGTTGGCAACGAAAATCTTTTCATGACTCTCTTGCTCATCTTTTATTTTTGATTGATTTTGGATTTAGGAATTGTGTTAGATAAAGGTGTGAGAAACACCATAAATAAGGGGTTTGAATTAGATTTCATCAGGTATAATTTTAAATCTCTCCGTTGATGAAAGACTAAGTTAACTTAGAACATAAAAATAAATGAACACAATTATTTTTATCTTGATTTACGGTTAACTAAGATAATCCAATCCACCCCTCAAGGTGATTTGTCTTCAATAAAAATTAATCCACTATAACTGATAAGTGCAAATTGTAGTTATTTTTGTATATATTTTTTGTTGCACTTATCGACTCTTTATTGTTAATATCGTTGAATAAACCCGACTTTTGTGTAAATATATTTAATTTATGTTAATTTATGTTTTTGTGTATATAGTGTACTGTTTAATGTTTTTATATTTATTTTGTAAGTATTTATTGCATTTTGGAGCATTGAAGAATAAAGTATCGAAGACACGACTCTAAATGCGCGTTTTTGTAATAAAAGACCAGTTTTGCTCAGGAGAGCCCGCTTAGCACGTAGAAGGCCGCTAAGCGCGAGTGCGCTCAACGCATTTTGTAGCGGCTGTTTGCGTTTTGACATTTCGGCATAAGCATTGTTTTTGAGCCCACTTAGCACGAATATTGCGCTTAGTGCGGTTTAGGTCGATTTGATGTGTAAAATAAAGAAGTCGCGCTTAGCGCGCCAGACCCACTTAGCGCGGACTGCTGAGATTTGTTTTATAACTTCATTTCATTCATTTGTTAGGTTATGGTTTTGGGGAAATTTTTTCTCCCAACTCCATCTACCTCCAATTTTGTTAGGATTAACTTAGATAACAACTATGGAGCTTGCATACGGATGATCCGGGGTGGATTGCTCTTCGATCGATGCTGATAAACTGGTAGATTTGCGGTTCATTTCTCTTTTTCTTTGTGTATTCTCTATTGGTTGGGTTTGTATATGTATTTACTTTGATCTTATGTATATTTGTCACCATTGACGTTATATAAAACATGTTTTACAAATCTTTGTCGATTGTTATCCTTGATTTTTGCTCTGTGCTAGGGATTTGAGTTTCTATAGACATATACTGCTTGGATTCTTATCTAGGATGATTATCTAATAATGTCTGAATTCTAGAGATAGATTTAGCATTGTTTTTGAGTTTTTTAATTAATATATATGTTGTATAGAATGTGTACATAAACTTGTCTATTTTTACTTGTACATGTTTTGTGTTTACTTTCCATACTTGTGCATATATGTGTTTTTCTTTGTTTTCACATATTGTTGTAAATTGTCTCATTTTCGTAATGTTTGTTGTGTGGTTGTTAGGAAACTTTCTTTAGGTTTGCGTGGTGTGACAATACCATGGCATGACGAGAGAAAGTTACTAGCTCGCAAAATAAAGGCATCGAACTTACGACGTAAAACAAACATGTTTTGTTTGTATTAGTTTATGTATGTGTTAACTTGTTACTTCATTTCAACTGTTTGTTTCGTTATGTCAATTTGTGTTTTTCCGCAAGCTTGTCGTGTTTAGATTGAAGAAGTTTGTATGTTGTAAATATTGTACGTTTGAGGTTGTATAGGTGTAAGTGGAGCTTGCATAGCAGCTGCACCATCTGTCCTATTTTTCTGCAACTGGTGTAGCGCGCTCTGCCCCGCTTAGCGCGCTCTGTTGTGCAGAATCAATGAATTATTTTTAATTTTTTGCTTGACTCTCCTTTTTCCCACTTCATCCAAGGATTTATAGTATAATAATTAATAGTAATAATTTTAATTCTTTCTTTTGTTGTTTGGACTCAAATTTTGGTTAGATAGCTTAAAGTCGCATTTGATGATTTTCCTATTTTTAGTGTGTCAACTTGCGGATGTATGATAATGATAGTTTTTGAAGTTGGTACTCGCCAGGTACACGTTTATTGTTTTATATAACATAACATGTTTAGGAAATTTATAATTTGTATAATTACTATACCATTCATTTTTTTTTACATTACTTGCTCATAACTTGAATCACTTTAGTTCCTTTTTTACCCATAAATGTGAGGAAGCTTTCAATTGTTTATATATGCTGGAGGCCACAATTCTTATTTTAACTAAATTTTATTATGTTTAATCTTTTGTTTGTATTGATTGTATGAAAGCATGAACATGATCAATGCATTTTTTGTTTCATTTTGAGCACAACTACCTTGGTCAAATAGTCAATTCACCTTGCGAATGTGTGATCATTAGTATCCCCTTTTGACTTTTTTTGTCGACATCCATGTTATTTTTGTTAAATGCTTGTCTATGAGTGTTGGTTCATCTTTTTGTATGGATATTGATTCTTTGTTTTCTTGAATCCTCAACTATGATTTATGGTTTGAATTTTTACCTTGCCTTAGAAAGTAGGGAGTATTCATATTATGATATGGTTGAACTCAAGTTGGGGAGAGAAATGTTTATGTGCTTGTGTGTATTACTATGAGGTTGAGAAAGAAAGAAATAAAAAAGAAAGAAAAAGAAAAAAAGTGAAAAAGGAAGGAAAGAAAAAGAAAGAAAAAAAAGAGAAAAGTTTTGAAAAACAAAAACAAAAAGAGTATGGAATAATATTGTGTTAATAAGTAATGGGTGTCGGTGAGAAATTTGGAATGGAGAAGGAGTTTGATTGAAATTATTTTGCTTGAGTCTTTGTGAGTTGATCACTCCCTTAGGTTAAGGAAAATTTTTTTTTCCCGATTAGCTTTAGGACTTATCCTTTATTTGTTAACCAAGCCACATTACAACCTTAAAAAGCCATTGTGATTCTTGTCTTTGTATTTTCAATATGAGTTTTTGGATGAATACATAATTTAGTCTATTGTTTTTAAGATTGTGGATGAGTGTTTTTTGTCTCTCACCTTTGTGTGTTCTTCATCTACCTATGAATTTTTACTAGGTATGATTCATGATTGAGCTTGTTTTGTTTTAGAATGTTTAATATGATTTTTGTACTTATGATTCGTTTCGGTTACATGTTGTCGTTGTAGGATTATTGTAAGTATTTACTTTGCGTGTGCGTTTTTGTTTGAACCATACATTTGTTTTCCATTTTAAAACTTGTCGATTCCTGATTCTTTGATTGATTACTTTTGGTTCTTTGAGTTGTTTGATCTTGTTTGAGGACAAACAAGTTCAAGTTGGGTAGATTTTTGATAAGTTCAAATTGTAGTTATTTTTGTATATACTTTTTGTTGCACTTATCGACTCTTTGTTGTTAATATCATTGAAGAAACCCGACTTTTGTATAAATATGTTTAGTTTGTGTTTATTTGTGTTTTTTGTGCACATAGTGTACCGTTTGATGTTTTTCTATTAATTTTGTAGGTATTTGTTATATTTTGTAGCATTGAGGAATAAAATGTCGAATGTACGGCTCCGGATACGCGTTTTCGGAATAAAAGACCAATTTTTCCCAAGAGAGCCCGCTTAGCGTGTAGAAGGCCGCTAAGCGCGAGTGCACTCAATGCATTTTGTAGCACACTACTTGTGTTTTGACATTTTGGCAGAGGCATTGTTTTTGGGCCCACTTAACGCGGATAGCGCGCTTAACGCGATTTAGGTTGGTTTGATGTGTAAAATAAAGAAGTCGCGCTTAGCGCGCCAGGCCCGCTTAGCATAGTCTGTTGAGATTTGTTTTATAACTTCATTTCATTCATTTGTTAGGTTATGGTTTTGGGGAATTTTTTGCTCTCAACTCCATCAACCTCTAATTTTGTTAGGATTAGCTTAGATAACAATTATGGAGTTTGCATACGGATGATCCGGGGTGGATTTATCTTCGATCGAAGTTGATAAACCGGTAGATTTATGGTTCATTTCTCTTTTTCTTTGTGTGTTCTTTATTGGTTGTGTTTGTATATGTATTTTCTTTGAACTCATGTATATTTGTCTCCCTTGGAATTATATAAAACTTGGTAACCGAAGTGGGGGTATCCTAGAGGTGCGCATGTGTTTCAGTTATTTATATTTGTGTTAGGTTTGCTAACGTTTTGTTTTTAATTCTTGTCATGCAATCCTATTAGGCATACATGTAACAGTTAATATATGCATAGGAAATTAAAGTGCGTAATTTAAAACCTAACTATTACATGGCTTCAGGGAGGGGGAATTTACAAGTCCAAAAATGGGGAAACGAAAAGTAAAAAAGAAACCTAATTAGTCTATTACAATCCATGGGCAGATACAATAATAATAATAAAAATTCGAATTTTAAAATAAGCGCGCGAATATAGAAAGGGAAGTAAAACCCTAAAACTTCTACACACTTGGAATGTTTTTGTTGTTTTTGTTTATTTGGGAAAATACTAAGTTAAATTAAA